CCCAGCAGATGGTGGTAGCGCGGTTTGGTAGGCACAGCAGGCCCGAAGGAGAGCAGTAAGCAATATCCTGCTGACTGCCCACTGACCCCCATGCCATGTGTATATCTGCTCCAGCTGGGTTCTCAGAAACAAAGGAATGGGGTCTTGTGTTCCTCAGGATCAGCACAGCACCCCGACAGAGCCTGACACACTCTAACTGCTGCGCTGATGCTTGATGACTGAGGAACCCATGAGATGACCCGCTGACCCCTGCCCGCTTCTCTCCCAGACTCACTGACCCATCGCCAGCATGGACTCCACCAAACTTTGTCGGTGGATTTCTGCCATTGTTATCCTGAAGCAGGCCTTGAAGACATGCTGTGACCTTCCCCCCCCCCCCCCCCCACGTATCCCAGGCTAGCCTTGAACTCTTAATCTTCCTGCCTCTAATCCCATGTGCCCACCACACAGGGTTTACCCTTTTCTTTTTTTCTTTGTTGTTGTTGGTTGTGGGCTTGAACTCAGGGCCTGAGCACTGTCCTTGAGCCTCTTTGTGCTCAAGATGAGTGCTCTACCACTTGAGCCACAGCAGCGCTTCCAGTTTTCTGGTGGTTAATTGAAGACAAGAATCTCATGGACTTTCCTGCCCGGACTGGCTCTGAACCATGATCCTCAGATCTTAGCCTCCTGAGTAGCTAGGATGACAGGTGTGAGCCACCAGCATCTGACTTCTTTTCCTTTTGCTGGTCTTGAAAGTCTGGGCCTCCAGCCGGCCAAGCAGGCATCCTACCACGGAGCCAAACCTCCAGTCCTGGCACTTGTTTCTTTGCAGAAAATCTGACACTTCTGCCCCCTCCCAGAAGCTGCCTCCCTTTCCCATGAAGCCACCAGGAGGCTCCATGTGACACAGGTGAGGACACTTACTCTCTGGTACCTTGCGTTGCCTGGCCTGGACAAGTCTGGCGGGGGTCTGGCCTCCAGCAGACGCGCTGGACCACTTTGGGAAGGTTGAGAGGTCTCTCTGAACTGGGTGGATGCCCAGTGTCTGCCCTGTGCCACCCAGGGGTGTAGCTGTGGAGATCCCTGAGTGACTGAGAGGCAGCGGGTTGTGGCCGGGTCATTAAGGTCTGGACGCCAGACTTAGGCATGGGTCAGGAGCCACATCTACTAGAAGAGGTGTACCCAGATGGGAGGAACATGGGGTCCCTCTGTTCCCCTAAACCTAGAAGGATACTGGGGTTGCACATGAAGCTCACAGACACTGTGGAAGGCTGCAAGGCCGGCATCCCAGCCTGGGACGGAGGAGACAAGCACCTGGCATAGGGGTGGATCAAGGGCGTGGAGCTCCGTGCACACGGTGCTCTCCAGGCAGGCCTGGGGCGCCTGTAGTTTCCCATGGGGCCCTCCTTCTCCCCAAGGGTTTGGGCCACAGGAGACTTACCATCTTGAAGGTGGAGAAGCTGAGTGAGAGAGGGACAGGGCAGAGCGTCAGGCCGGCCAGCGCCCTACCCACCCTCCAGCCTCAGGCTTCAGGAATGAAGACACCCTCTGTCCTGTGCCTGCCAGGACAGGGCCAAGGCTGCCTGCCCCACACTGCCCCATGCAAAGGAGGAAGCTCTGTCTCAAGGACCCCAAGGGTCCTGTACCCCAGAGTCCCCCTCCCCATCCCGGTTCTCCAGGCTTCCTTTGCTGGAATTCCCCTCTGAGTCTTTCCAGTGCCCAGCACCATGGGGGCCCTGGTGAGTGTCAGGACAGACACAGGGCTGGCATGGGGCAGGGGGGAGAGCCAGGGTGCCCTCCCTGCTGTCCCCCTCCCCCGCTCCCCTGGGATGGGCAGGGGCCACAGGGGTACCTGCAGGTGGTGGCTTGGCAGAGCTTCTCAGCAGGCAAGAGCAAGTGGTGCTGCGGGCAGCACTGCCACAGCTCGGGGCAGGGGTGAGCGTCCTTATATAGTTTATGGACCTATGCCCAGGGGCAGGCAGGGACATCAGCTGCCCAAGCCACAGACCCAGCCAGGGCCCCGCCCACCTCCCGGCCCAGCCTTGGGGCTCTGTTCTAGCTGCCTGGAGGGCTCCAGAGAGAGACAGCAGGGGTCTTCTGAGATGTAGAGCCCCCATAGAGAGCCTGGGGTGAAAGGACAGGGACTGGCCGGCACCGGTGGCTCACGCCTGTCATCCTAGCCACTCAGGAGGCTGAGATCTGGGGATTGTGGTTCAAAGCCAGCCCATGCAGGAAAGTCTGTGAGACTCTTATCTCCAATAAACCACCAGAAAAAACAGAAGTGGCGCTGTGGCTCAAGTGGTAGAGCACTAGCCTTGAGCTGAAGAGCTGAGGGACAGCAACCAGGCCCAGAGTTCAAGACCCATGACCAACAAAAAAGAAAGGAAGGAAGGAAGGAAGGACAGGGACTGACCAGGCCCAAGACTGAGGTAAAGAGACAGACGGACCCACCACAAAGAGCTGGGAAGTCAAATGCAAAGAGGAGAGGGGCGGGTGAGCCTGGGCCAAGTGGGCAGGGCCGGGTGCAGGGGTGCCCCGGGGGGGAGGAGGAGGGGCTGACAGTGGCACTGGTGAACCCCAGACACTGGTGAATTCAGCTGGCACTGCCACTCCCCATCAGCTGTGGGTCTCAGGCAGGTTTTGGTGTCATTGCGGAGCGCCTCATAACACTGGTCTGTGCTCTCTGCACTCCCCTAGAACCCAGGCCCTCTGGCCCAGGCCAGCACGCTAAATACAATGCCAATAAGATCTCTGCCAGCCAGACGCTGGTGGCTCACACCTATCATCCCAGCTACTCAGGAGGCTGAGATCTGAGGATCACAGCTCAAAGCCAGCCCAGGCAGGAAAAGCCCTGAAACTCTTATCTCCAATAAACCACTAGGAAAAAAAAAAAAAACCAGAAGTGGCGCTGTGGCTCAAGTGGTAGAGTGCTCGCCTTGAGCTGAAGAGCTGAGGGACAGCACCCAGACCCAGGGTTCAGTTCCCATGACTGACTAAAAAAAAAAAAATCCTCTCTGCCTGTCCATACACAGTCACTGCCCCCCCAGGCCCCCAGGCGCACCCCAGAGGCTCCCCCAGTCCTCGCCAGGTATGTCCCCCGTGTGGGACCTGCATGTCTCTCGCCCCAGCTCACCACCGCCACTGGGCCCCCCTCTCGCACAGCACACACCCTCCCCAGGCCTGTTCCCACCCTGCATCCTGCATCGTCCTCAGAACATCCTGGGTGGGGGAGGGGGTGGGGAGGGCTTTTCTGAGGACCTCACCCTTCCCCTCCCTGCAACCACATGCACAGCCTCCTGTGGGACCCCACCCCTGCCTGTCACTGGAGGGGGTCTGAGGACAAGTGTTACCCACAGTACCCCAGCCCTGCCCACATCGCACTCCCCAGAGAATCGTCTAGAATGGCTCACTACCTTTGCAGATCCCCATGTGCCCCCTGTAGCCTCCCCAGGTCCTTCAGTGAGATGTAACCACCCCCGAAAACCAGTTCCTTGCTGTATGCGTGGCCCCAGCTCCCGGGGATCTGTGTGAGGGCCAGGCAGGAATGGCTGTAGTCCAGAGTGAGCACTTGGGTGTTTAACAGGCTCTTAAACCTCTGGGGACTGCGTTGGTCACCTTCGGGTGCAGGTTTGGCTGGGAAAGGGGTGCCTGGTGCTAGGCGCTCTCTCAGTGGCCTAAGAGAGAGTGTTTCATGCCTGGTTTCAGGCATGGGGAGGAGCACTACAATTCTTGGCCTTTATGCTTAGGAAAGTCAGCCCAGAGAGGTGATATGATTTGGTTGAGGCCACACAGCTGGTGACAGGCCATGCTGGGATCTTTTCTCTGCCAGAATGTGGCTCCCTGTGCCCAGTGTGTGGTGTCCCATGCCAGGTCAGGCTGACCAATACCAAGAAACTGGTGTTTACTTTGTAGGTGATGAGAGAAAAAACCTAAGTCCTAAATTTAGTCACAAAAGCAGGAGGTTGGAGGGCAGGGAATAACAGGAGTGAATCAGTGAACAAAAATACTGTTCTAGCCCGGCACCAGTGGCTCACACCTGTCATCCTAGCTACTCAGGAGGCTGAGATCTGAGGATCATGGTTCAAAGCCAGTTAGCCAGGACAGGAAAGTCTGTGAGACTTTTATCTCAATTAACAACCAGAAAAACAGAAGTGGTGCTGTGGCTCAAAAAAGCTCAGGGACAACAAACACCCAGTCCCCGAGTTCAAACCCCACAACTAACCAAAACCAAAACTAAAACCTCCATTCCATGTTCAGAGATATATGTTGAAACTTTTTTTTTTTTTTTTGGTCCGGTGGTGGGGCCTGAACTCTGGGCCTGGGCGCTGTCCCTCAGCTCTTCAGCTCAAGGCTAGCGCTCTACCACTTGTGAGCCACAGCGTCACTTCCGGCTCTTTTTTTTCTGCTTACGTGGTGCTGAGGAATCAAACTCAGGGCCTCATGCATGCAAGGCAAGTGCTCTACCACTGAGACACCTTCCCAGCCCATGTTGAAACTTTTATCTCGGAGTCCCAGAAGTTGGACAGTGAGGATGCCATCATATTTTTATCATCTGACCAATCAGAAAGCAATTCTAAGCTGGGTTGGAACATACCTATAATCTCAGTTACTCAGGAAGACAGGCAAGAAGATCACAAGATGTGAGACTCTCAAACACAAAATACAAGCTGGGTGCTGGTGGCTCACACCTGTAACCCTAGCTACTCTGGAGGCTGGGGTCTGAGGATTATGGTTTGAAGCCAGCTGGGGCAGAAAAGCCTGAGATATCTGATATCCAGTAAGCTATTCAGAAAAAGCCAGAAGTGGTCCTGTGGCTCAAGTGGTAGAACGCTAGTCTTGAGCCAAAGAAGCTCAGGGTCTGAAATGCAATCCCTGAGTTTAAGACCCAAGACACACACACACACACACACACACACACACACACACACACACACGCACACGCACACGCACACGCAGGCATGCACGCACACGCAGGCATGCACGCACACGCACACACACACACACACACACACACAAATGCAGTGTTTCCTTTGGCAGCACATATGCTAAAATTGGAATGATACAGAAATGAGCCCGGCCCCAGCACAAGGAAAAATAAAATACAAAAGGGCTGTGGGCATTAATTGGTGAGGTGCGGTGCCCAGCAGGTGTTAGACTCTGGATTCAATCCTTAATACCTCAAATAAACAAACAAAAAGGAGAAACAGTGCTAGAGCTGGGCGGGGCAAGGTGATTCACTGTAATCCTAGCCTCCAGGTTAGAGAGAGGGATTTGAAGTTAAGCCTACAAATCAAAATCCTGTCTCTAGTGAAAATGAGAAAGACTGCTTTTCTACCCCAAACACTGTCCATCTTGTCGAGAGACCATGTAAACAAGTCAGATTTTCTTTTCCCAAAAACTTTCAAAGCCAGTACTTGGACTTGGTAGTTGTGGCAAGAGATTTCTCCAACTGCCGGTCAGCCTTGTTGCTGGGTGCTGTGGGGACTTCTTAGGGGAAGTAAGAACTTGGTAAGGGCTTGGGAATGTCTGTGAGCACCAGTTTTTCACCTGAGTAGGAGCTGAATAAATGCTCTTCTGTCTCACGAGTTACACCAAGGGAGGACAATCAAGGTCAGGCAACTGCAGCCTGTACTAGAGCACTGGGACTCGGGGCAGGCAGGCAGGGAACTTCTGCTGTTTCTGCAGGGAAGGGTGGACACTGCCCCAGGCTGAGCTGAACCAGCCATGGAGGAGTAGAGTGGGTCAACCAGCTCCTGCCCAGTGAGACCAGCGGGGAGAAGACTGGACCCACCCCTATTTCCGGTAGAGCCCATTTGCCTTCCACTCTTTCCTGTGTCCCCCTCTTCCATCCTCAAGGTGGGTGCAGGCCAAAAGACATCACTGGGGGCCAGCCTGCAGAGGGAATCAATCACTGCTCTCCTACTCTGCAGTGTTGCAGGGCCTGCTGGGTTGTGTGATCATGCAGGATGACAATGGCATAAAGGCACTGTCAGGGCACACATGCTCTCCTAGAAATGCATTGAGCCACTGCCCCAGAGTCCCTCCTTCCAGGTCATGGCTTCTCTGGCTGCTTCTGCTTCCCTCATGCTCCACAGAAGAGCTGAGCTATGGAGGGTGGGGTTGAAGGTGCTCAATTCAAGCTAGCCTAGCCTAGTCCATTTTGTAAAGGCCTCCATCCTGTCTGGCAGGTAAGGCTTGTGCAGAAACTGTTCTGCTGAATCCAAGCTGATCCCTGCTTGCAAGTGCCTAGAACAGCCGTTTCTTTTAGATTGTAAATGCTTACCAACCCCAGCCCTAACTGGGAGCTGCCTCTCAGCTTTTTCATCAAGGCGGAGCCTGTGTCACTTGAGCCATAGATGGACTCCTGGATCTTTGCTGATTCATTGGAGGTAAGAGTCTCATGGACTGTCCTGCCTGGGCGGCTGGAAACGGTGGTTCTGAGTCCTCGGACTCCTGAGCAGCCGGGATTACAGGCGTGAGCCACCGGTGCCTGGCAACCCTTAGGCTCTTGTTTACCTGTCACAGTGACCTGCTGGCTTCTCAGAAAAAAACTAATCAAACTCTTTCTCAACCTGCTGACAGGACTCTTTTTTTTTTTTTTTTAAATCCCTCTTTATAACCAGGATATTGATTTTTTTTCTAAAAAGACCTCCCTAGACAAACAACACTTCTCCAGGCCCAGTGAAAAGGCCCCTCCTGGGTTGGTGAACTACCCTCTCTCCTCTGCTGAATTCAGGCTCTGTGGGAGTGGGAGAGATCTGGGGAGACTGAGGGCCTAGCCGGGCACCTGGCTAAGGGGTGAGAACATACATGGAACATGTTTCTGCAGCCAGTAGCCCTGTCAACAGAACATTCCAGATTCAGGCTCTGACGAAGGCTTTGAAATGGTCAGCAAACACCACAGGGACAAAGTGCAGTAAGCTACCACGACCTGTCACACCTTCAAAATCTGCCTGAAGCGGCCCTCCCCAGCCCTGTTCTCTCCAGCGTGGTGTCACACTATCTCTAAGGCCAAACTGATCTTGATTGGGCCCTCATGACCGGTGGGAAATTACCAGACCCAAACCCACCCCAGCGCCCCAGCTGCGGTTCAGCGGGCAGCCTGGTTTCTCTGTCAATCAGCTTTCCTAGAACCGCAGCTCCCGCCCCACGTCTCCATCAGCGCCGGGCCTGTGTGTTTGTGATCCTCTGCTGGGTCTCATTTCTATTGTTTCAGTGCCAAAAGACCCTATCTATCTCTAGTTTCAGGGCCAATGGAAAGGGTGAACAATCCCTACCTTATGGTCCCCCATGGAGTGAGGGCCTCCAGATCACTCTCCCACACTCTCCTCTCCTTTCCCACCTGCGGTTGGTAGGGACCTGCCCCGAGATGCAGGCATCTGGGGATGGGCACTGTGGGGCCCAGGCCTGTTGTCTTAACAATAGCTCATGTACCAGGCACCCGGGCACCCACGGGGGCAATTAGCGAGTGTAGGAGGGAGTTTCCATGGTGGCCGTCCCGAGGGGGTGCACCAGGGTGCAGGGAGGGACAAGGGCCGGTGGGACATTTCTCCTTTGTCCTGGGTACACTAGGCCTTTGTTCTTGCCTGGTGCTCTTTGGCAGCTGGAAGCAGGGGCATGAGTTGGGAGGTGGACTTGGGTTGGTGTCCCCACTCCCCTGGGAGTGAGGAAGCCTCCTGGGGGGGGGCTGAGGAGAGGAGGGCAGAGCCCACTCCCGAGCCCAGCCCAGCCTCACCGCTCAGGGCCAACAGTGCCAGTGCCTTACCTTACCTGCCATCCAGAGGCGGAGACAAGGCAGCTTCTCATTGGCTCTTGTTGCAGCCAATGAGAAGTGTGCATCCCCAGGCAGGGCTGGGAGGGTGCATGAAAGTGGGAGGGGAAAGGCTCTTTGTCCAGAGTGGGCATGGAGGTCATCGAACAAACTCCATCCAGGCATCTGCTCGCTCAGACTTTATTCCAGCCCCTCATGAGCCTCTGGGGCATCCCTTAGCCCAGCAGCAACCTCACCCCCACACTCCATCCACGCTGGCTTTGGTGCTGGGGAGGGCTTGGGCACCATCATGATATGTGGCCCACCGGGCTCCCCCCAGCCCCTCTGTGACCTTCCTTCACTTCCGTGTCTGTGCTGTGGGGAGCCCCGCCCTGCCCCCACGGCGTGGGCCTTGCCTGGAAGGGAGATGAGTCACCAAGTCCCAGCAGAAAAGTGTAGAACCCACTGTGGGCTGACATCTACCATTAGGATTGGGGGTACTGATCCTTGGTACCTTCAGAAGCGGGTGTCCAGGAAGGACACAGAGCTTCGATGGGCTCTGGGGGCGCCCTCCAGAGAGGCTCCTCGTGCCCGAGGCAGGAGCCCATGAAACGTCTTGCCACGGGTCTGGGGTTTGCGTCGAGGTGGCCTGGACTCCTCGGGAGGCTGGACCACAATTTGGGGCAGCTCAGGTTTGGGGCTTCCCCGCGCCCCTGCCAGCTGCTGGGCCTCAAAGATGGCTTGAGCTCCGGGAAGGCGGGCCTGCAGCTGAGGGTGTGGCCCGGGTGAGGACTCGGCCAGCTGGGCCAGCTGGACCCTGATTTCCCGCTGCAGGTCCCGCTCGGACAGGGCCACACTGTGTACCTGGGGAGAGCCATGGGGCTGAGGTTGCAGGCGCTGGGGGAGAGGCAGGAAGCCCTGGGTGCCTGGGAGGGGGGGCGGAGGGGAGGGGAACAGACAGTACAGAGTCCCAGGAAGTGGGTGAGGGCTCGGGGACTCGCAGACAGCACAGCACAGCGCTGGAAGCCTGAGGTTTACACCATCTGCAGCTCAGAGATCAGGAACTCAGCCTGGGGGGGGTGTCTCACATTGCCTCAGTTTCCCCCTCTGTGCAGCACAAAAGAAGGCAGGCAGAGACACCTACCTGGGACATGAAGATCTCCTCTTGCAGCTGGCTGGGGGCAATAGCTCGCAGGGCCCCAAGCGTCTCCAGGAGCCCCGGGCAGGCCCTGCGCTGCTCTGCAGTGCCCAGCGCCAGGCGCATCAGGGTCAAACCCACCCGGAACAGCACCTTGGCACCTGCACGGGGAGGGACTTAGTCACAGGGAGCAGAGCCCTGCACTACCTCAGTTCTGCACCTTATCCTGTCCTCAGAATATGGATCCTGCTGGGTGCTAGTGGTCACATCGGTAATCTTAGCTACTTGGGAAACTGAGGTCTGAGGACCATGGTTCAAAGCCAGCCTGGGTAGAAAAGTCCCTGAGACTCTTATCTCCAACCAACCCCCCAAAAAAATCTGGAATGGAGCTGTGGCTCAAATAGTAGAGCTCCAGCTTTAAACAACAACAACAAAAAGCTCAGTGCTAGCACTCAGCCCTGAGTTCAAGCCCTAGGACCAGCACAGACTAACATAAAGGAGCCTGTGCAAGGCATGTCCTCAAGTAGAGGGGTTGAAGTGGGCTTGGACATCTTGCCTGGCCTGAGTCTTGAGGTCTGAAGGAAGGGAGGTAACACATGGATGAAGACTTGAAAGCTAGCAGCCAGAACACTAAGGGAGCTCCTGCTCTTAGCCCTGCATACGGGGTGCAGAGCAAGCGTCCAATAGATGAATGAACTGATTTCCGGTACTTTTCTCTTTTTTTGGCAGTCCTGGGGCCTGAACGCAGGGCCTGAACACCCTCCTTAATGCTTCTCTATGCTCAGGCTAGAATTCTATCACTTGAGCCACAGCACCACTTCGGGCCTTTTCTGGGTATGTGGGTGCTGAGGAATCAAACCCAGGGCTTCGTGCATGCTAGGCAAGCACTCTACCACTAAGCCACATTCCCAGCCCTGATTTCCAGAACATGTAAGGTGTTTTTCTGGACATCACATAAAAACCAAAAAGGAGAAGGGTTATTGGTGGGCCATCAGGGCTGAGGCTCAAAGACCCCAAAAGCCCAGGTTGGCTCTGCTCTGATTGCCCAGCCCGGTGCACCTCGCGCCCTCCGGTCTCTGCTCACGTTCACCTCCACCAAAGAGCAACCGCTTCCTGCCACGCTCCTGTCACTCTCTGTCACCTCCTTGGTTTTATTTCTTCATGGCCCTGGTGACGTGCTATAAATACCTTGTTAATTTGGTTACTGTCACCTCCCACCCCCATCCCCACCCCTGCA